ACCTCATTTTACCCTTTGGAAGCGAATGGTGGTCCGCCTGGCTTGAATCAGCTGCACTCGGATTCAAGCCAAGCGTGCCACCATTGTGTCACCAAGCGCGTGCCACCATTGTGCCACCATGCGCGTGCCACCATTGTGTCACTGTGCGCGTGCCACCATTGTGCCACCAAGCATAAAACCAAGCGACACACGAACAGCTCCGAGAGATCACAAGGACGTCATTAGATCCTGTTTACCTGAGAAGTGAACAGTTGGAGAAAACCTAAAACGACGCGACCAGAAGTTGTGGAAGACTTATGGGGCCGCCGCCTCGTTGGCCAATACTTGCTCAGGCACTTTGTTCTGGAAGTCTACGGCGGCTCGCAGGTCCCCCGCGCGGGCTCTCAGGGGCTGATTTAAATGCATGTACAGTCCATGCAAACTCATAGAAGGCATGCATTTTTGTTTTCCTCATTGCGCAGGTAATCGTCTACACGTCGGATGGTAATTTATGATCAACATACTTCCTTAGAAGTTTGCGATCTGTTTTCAAATGCCCGACGTACAAAATCAACGTGAAGAATGGTATTGGCCAATTTGCTACCACCTATGCCGGCAATTTTACATCTGACTTATTTTCCAATTTTTGGAAGGATTGTGCAAAAGGAATATTTGGAAACCGCACGCAACCTGTCCGTACCGATTGTTTAGAAGTACTCAAGTTATTTGAAAAATAACTCATGTGTGCCACACATACCACACATTCCAAGACACATTTCTTTTTGTTTGCATTTAGAGACTGCTAATCAGGCACTTTATCTCACTTGGCCAAAGGTGTATGAATTGTTTGAAACTCGTGAACAAAGGGCCAACATGACAGGAAAGACATGCCTCAAACCAGCAGGGCCCTGGAAATCTACAACTGTTGGGCTGGGAGGCTGGGGCCGCATTCAGTGTGTGGAGTTTAACAATATTCATCGGGCTTATGGTGCCAGAATGAAGATCCCCTAGCGTTTTGCAATAAGGTAAGTTTGCTAAAGGATCCTACCCTCACTTTATCCCAAGTAAAGTGCAATCACCCATCTTATCCATAACTGGAATGTCTACATTTTTGATAAAATGCGCATATTAGCGGAGAAGTAATCATAACGTCAAACACAACAAGAGGGAAAAGTGGGTCTCTTTTAGCATGCAATGTATTCCAATTGAACATGAAGTCTCTCAAAGGGGCGAAATAGTATCCTCACTTCTCGGACCCTATTCCAGGCCCAGAGCGATATACACGAGAGACGCGCCCTTATGCTGGGTATTTAACTTCCTGTTTTTATTCTACGGAACGGTAGATTTGCCGTAGATGTGAAAATATAAAGCTTCCCACACCAGTAATGCGACAAGATTCAAACGTTAAGTGAATATACACAATTTATGTATGTTGGAAATCTGAAACAACCAGATCACTTTACTGTTTTCTAACAACAAACATAATTCGAAAACAAAGGAGCATATTCGGTTGAAAATGCCTGAAATCAAGGAAATCAACTACCCCATAAATGAAATCAACTTCCAGAAAATATTCCGATTGGCACACTTCTCATCCGGTTGGCACACTTTTCCTTTGTTTTCGAATTATGTTTGCTGTTAGAAAACAGTGAAGTGATCTGGTTGTTTAAGATTTCCAACATACATTAATTGTGTATACTCACTTAACGTTTGAAACCTCCAGAAAAAAAATCCGGTTGGCACACTTCTCATGCGGCCCAAATGATCCCCACCATATTCATGAGGATACCCAAGACAAGCAGACATCTCATCGGTGGTAATGACCAAAATGCATCAGGCCTATCCGAGGATCCCAAAAGCAGATCCCAACTCCGCTGCCGCCGCCCCACACGCACCTGAAATCTGTTGACGATGTCGACGCGGCCGTGGAAGAGGCCCGTCCCGAACACGACGACTCGATCACAGCCCTGGCGGAGCATCTCGTCGCGTGGGATCAGGCCGCGCGCGAGTAGCCGCGGCCGCGAGCGGCGCTGAGGCAGGTACGGGTACTCGTCCATGACGCGCAGCGGCGAGGCCGGCGCGGGCTGCTCCGCCTGCCGCGCCGCCAGCACCACCCGCTCGGCGCACTCCAGGCTGTCACCGTCGTCGTCGTCGTACGGCGGGCTCATGCAGCGCGGCATGGCGCTCAGAGAGCGGCGCAGACCGGCCAGGCCCAGGTCGAAGCGGCCGGGCAGCGAGTAGTGGCCGCCCGCCGGCCAGCGGCGCCGCAGCCAGGAGAGCGCCGATCCGGGCCGGACCGCGCCGCGGCCGCCCAGCTCCAGCGCGCCGCCGCCGCCGCTGCAGATCCGGCCCTCGCGCAGACCCTCGAAGAAGCGCTGGATGGCCTCGAAGCGTGCGTGATTGGCGTCCGTGGAGAGGTTCGACAGCTCCCAGCAGGAGAGCAAACGGCCGACGCGAACCGGCCGGCCGGCGTCTGAGCAAGAGAGGCTGCGGTCCACGGCCTGCCGCCGCGCCGCTGCTGCCACCGCGCGGTCCTGCTCGTCCGCCCCGTGCTCCTCCTCCGCCGGCGGCTCCAGCGGAGCAGGCGTCCGTGCCGCTGCTAGGGGGCGCGCCAGCTCGGCGGAGCTCCTGCTCTTCTCTCTGGTGCCGAACAGCGAGGCGTTCAACTCGCCCTGGGCTCGGCGTTGAGGCTCGGCCAGGTCCACCATGCTGCGCGAGGAGCCGCGCGAGTCGAACAGCGAGCCATCTGACCGGTGCTCGCTCGCTCGCCTCGCCGACTCGCTCAGCTGCTCGTACATTCGCCGTAGACGAACCACGCGGCCCTCGTCGTGAACGCGCACCACAGGCTGGGCTGGGGAAAATAAGTGCTCAGTTATAGTGACAGACAGACTATTGGCCATTGAACACGTATGTGAACTTCAAACGTGACATGAATGCAGCTGGTTACGTTCTTTATGTTTATTGTTGTGGTAAATGTATAAGTTACATTTAGTTGTAGCAAAAATAAAGTTAGCACCTCACATTTAAGTCGGGTTTTAGTGATATCAGAATCTCCGATCAGGATCACTTTTCAAACCTTTTCAATTTGCGAGACGTCGGAATCCATGTCTATGATACAAGCTGCATCATTGCGTACCCTTTGGTTTCATGTCCGAGGTTTTTCCTATCTCCAACATCTTCTTGCGTTCTTCGAGGCAGATTTCCGTGGGAGGAAAAAGGGTCTGCCACATGGTCTCCTTTGGCATGACAGCACTGTCGTCCACTCCACCCTGGGAGTGTCTACTGATGAGTTGAGCCACGTATCCGTCCGGTGAAGCTGGCGGCATCAGGAGCCGGCTCCTGGCGTCAGGATTTCGTCCGCCGGTGCTGACACACTTCACACCGCGAAGGCTGTCCCTGCCGTTCTCAGTCGGCAGGGTTCCACTTTTCGTGACCTCCCATGCCCACATGGTGTCCATTCGGGCATCACTGGCTCTTTTTGGGCGAGCGATAGCTCTATTCTCCACGGCTGCGCCCTCGCGTGGAAAAACGGCGTCACTTAACTCGCGCAAGTCCAGTCCTGCCTGCGCTGGTGAGCACACCCCCTCTCCCGTGGCCAGGGCGGCGGAAGCGAACGACTCGCCCCGGTCCGGACTAGCAGTCGTGGCCGCTTCGCCGGGACTTCGAGCGGTGGGCGCGACCGGCTCACCGAGATCCGGATCTCGAGGGAGATCCGAATCTCGGGGGACGCAGCTAAGCAGCACCGGCGTCCTGCCGACCGGCGGCGGCGTGCCGGGCACAAAGTACACGGTGTCTATCGACACCAGCCTGCTTTCGTCGTCGACAGCGCGCCGCCCGCTCTTGCTCGACGCCTCGCGCACGGCCGCAGGGGTGTCGGCCTCAGTGTCGGGACTGCGTCTGCCGTGCTCGAGTGTCGGTGTCATTGGGACGCGGTCTGTGTCAGCCGCAGGTGAGTCGATAGATAGCTCAGCGGAGCCTGCCCTGCCAGGGCTGTCTGCTGAGCGGTTCTGCCACGCTGTTATTGCACCATTTCTTTCCAGGATTTCGTTGTTCTCCTGCATCTGCTTTGTTAGACTCTCTTGCAAGTGCTCCACATCAGTCATGTATGCAGCGTACAGTTCATCGTCAGAGGGTTGAACTGGCACATATTTCGATCCGTAATTGTCCGGCAATATTGCGATGTTGTTGGGCGGCTGGTGTTTGTCTGGTCTGAGCGAAAGACATGGTGGCACATTGCACAACGCATTCACTTCGTGAGGCACTCCCAAGGCTTTCCGCTCGTGACAGGCATCGATGAGATAAGATGCCACGGATTCTTGGTTCATGTCTTCCCTTAGCTTTCCAGGTGACCTTTCACTGCAGAGAGAGACGTTAAAGGGTTCATGACTGCATTCTGATTCAGAATCGGTGCGTTTCGCTGACGCGTGAACCTGTGCATCAGAACCCTTTCCGTACACTCCCCCTTTTTGACGCACACCCTTCCATGGATCATCTTCAGTCTCTGTCTCTTGGCGCAAATTTCGAGGTACGTCTGGCAAAATATCCTCTTCCCAGCTGACATCAGCGACAACGTGTGCGTACGGCGAATTAAGATTGGTCCCCTGTTCAAACGCGTCATCCTCTGGCCAGTCTGTTGCCGTCGGGTTCGGACTTCCCTCCGGCTTTTCATTCACGATCACAAACAACTCCTTCCTGCCTTTAACGTCTCGGAACTCTACAGGCTGATGTTGAAATTGTGGCTGGTGGACATCTCGGCTGAAAATGGCATCATGTGGTACACACTCCTGAATGTCAATGATCTCTTCAAATGCGTCCGGCCTCTTTGGCGGCGCGGATTTGGGCAAGAGGCTGTCAGGTGCATCTTTGTCATTCGCACTGCCCATTTGCATGTCAGCTATGTCACCGTCAGCACGGCACAAGGGCACGCTCTCTGCGCTCTCTGCCGAAAACAAAGGCGCGTCTGGAATGACGTCATTTTCCAGAAGTCCATGGTCCTCGTCACTTGGGCCGGGCTGTATGGATTCCCCTGCCACACTCACACCGAGCTCAAAAGTGCCGCTGTTGGACACGTCGCCACTTCCATCCCTCCGACGGCCCGAATGCGCACCGTGCTGAACTGCGTGCGACACAGCCGCGCGCGCGGCGGCGGGGTCGCAGTCGAGGGAGGCGCTCGCCCCACACCAGGTCGGCTCGCCCCCCTCCCGGCGCTGCTGGGGGACCGCTGGTGCGGGCGCCGCCGCCTGCCCCCGGCCGCCGGGCTCGGTCGGGCCGACGCACCCCGCGGCCGAGCGCTCATCGCCGTCGGATCCGACGGGCGTCGGCAGGCCCGGCTCGAAGGCGACGGACGGAAGCAGCCGGGCCCACACGGCGGCCGGCTGACGCACGCGCGTCGCCGCCGCGCCCAGGTATACCTTGGTGCGCGCCTGAGTGTCGTGAAGCCCGTGCTTGGCCTCCAGGGGCGTCTGTAGCTTGGTGTACTGACCGCTGTACTTTGAACTGTCCGGAGAAAGGGTGCCAGCCGGCTGTCTCGCGAGCGGCGCATCGGGCTGCTCTTGCTGCCAGGCGTTCGGCGCGGGGGGATCGAACAGCGGCCCGTGAACCGGCTCACACTGCTTGGGAAACATTTGGATGAGTGCCTGGTCTTCAGATGTCACACAGGTGTTTGACGCCTCCGTGTCAGTAATCGCTCGAGGGTGACCGATTGCAAAACTTTCCATGCTTGTCTGTTCACGCGACCACTTATTTGCCTCGTTGGCTCCTACCTCTGCACCAAGTGTCCCCTCTAAAGTGTCCCAAGTTGCATCGTCGGTTTTATGCTGATTACATTCTCGAAGTCGAGAAGTGCTCCATCTTCGACCAGGTCTCCAAAGATCCTCTGCGTGGTCTGGCACCTCACGGGAACCAGAAACTTGGGCGGACTCAAACAAGTTATGGTTGGCATCTGAGCGGAGGCATACACCGGGTTCAGTCGCCAAACTTTTCTCGTCGGTGTGTTCATGTTTCACTGGGGAAGAATAGCCCTCAACAGTTTTGTCTCTATCAGCTTGCTTTATTGGGTCATCTTGGTCCGCTTGCGGTTCCTCACTGGTGACGTATGACCCGCGCGCGTCACGTTGGATATAATCGTGGCACAGCCTCTCACAAACCTCCACCGTTTCTGGCGAGCTGGCGCCATGGGGGACCTCCGCCCCCAGCCCTCCGTAGGCGGGCGCCCGGCTGACGGCAGGATTACACTCTCGTGTATCGTCCGAGACGTGCGTCGGCAGAGATAAATCACCAATTGCGCCAGACTTCACGGCCAGTGGCTCGGACGACGCGGAGGCGGGGTAGTCGTCTGTGAACGAACCGCCCGTGCTTGTCGCAGGGATGGGCTCTTCCTCAGACGCCGTATCGCCAGTGACCGCATGGGTGCACTCAACGGTCGCGGGGTGATTTACAACGCCCGGCCCACCGGGTTCCGGACGTGCTGCGTTTTTGCAAGGGAGCTCTGAGTCTGCCGTGGTGTTAGGACGAAGAGCTTCGAGTGGCAAAATGCGTTCAGATGAGGATGGGTTTTGAGACGACTGGAATTGGCTGTCGCGTTCGGATTCTTCACCACCAAAGGGCGCATCTTGCTCCATTCCCTCGGCGCATCCATGGGGCAATGATAGCTCAGAATCTGCATCGGGTTTCTGTTCTTCGGGATTCAGCACGTGCTCTGGTGAGCCCAGAACTGGAGGTGCGCAATGCGTTTGTGATCTGCTCTCTATGCTCCTTATCACCTCCGTGGGCTGCTCATGTTGCCACCACCCCGTGCGCCACCACCAGCCTGCTCTGCATGGTCTGTCAGACCGCAAAAGTTCACCTCATTAGGTGACGTCGACGGTAAAGCTGACATATTTTCTAAGTATTCTTTGCTTTCGTTGCCTGCTGCTTTCTGACCACGAGCACACATTTCGGGCATTTCAAGTAAGGCATTTTCCGTCACGGTCGCCTCCTGGCCATCGCTCTGGATGTCGTCAGCGCATGCCAAGGTTAGGTTACACCGGCACTTTGCCCCGAATACGCCCTTTGACTTGTCACGTGCAGCGCACTGCCGAACATCCTCCCCGTCTCGACAGCGGTCGGGAACTGGCGACGTATCAGCGCCTGACAAGTCTGTCAACACGCGCTCACGCTCGGCCGCCTGACCGGAAATGACGGCGTCCGATAGCGTCTCGCCGGATGACCGACATCCGTCACATACCCGCGGCGTAATTGGTGTGCTGCACGACGGATTGTCAATATGTGCCTGGGGAATACTACCGTCGGACGTGCGTGGCGAGACGACAGGGCGTGCCGGGCCCTCCTCCGCGGTGTCTTCCGCCGTCGCCGCCTTAGATTCCATAGCCGTGGGCGGTGATTGAACGATGCATGGCATGCCACGATGCGTCGTTGCCCCGGCAACCGGTGCATCTCGGCTCTCGCGTTCCGCTGTGTCGCGGATGAGGTGTTTCTGGAAACTGTCTTCCGGGCTGATGTCCGATTGTGTGATGTTTTTATTCCGCGGTGCGTCAACATGGCGATATTTGTCGTCGTGACTGGCTAATTCGGGCATTAGCAAATCGTAGGAGGCATAGACATTTCCTAGTGTTACACCAGGGGCCACTGCCTCAGTTGATGCGCCGTTTTCTTCCATTTCGTCTCCGTTTAAATGAACGTTCGCCGCAGCTGAGTGAAAGAGGTCCAGCAGACATTCCTGGTAGTCATCTTTCCCATGCTCTGCAATGGAATTGGGTGCGTCCTCCCTCTGCCAAGTCGGCGTCGCCAGTAGGTATTCGTCTTCCCTTGACACCTCTCTGAGAATAGGCAGGTGTCGACGGATGTCACCGGCCGTCGCCGTCTCAGCAGCAGACGCAGAAGGCGCTGATCGCTCCCCTTCTGCGGTCGGCGGCGACATCCAAATCGCTGCATCCGTCTGCGTGCGGGTGGGTGGTTCGTCACTTTCCCTCGACAGCTCTCTCAGCACTGTCAGCCGGTGAGGTGGAGTGCCGGCCCGCTCCATCTCCGCAGCGGACGCAGGAGACGCCGGTTCCTCCGTCTGAGCGGTGTCCCCGTCCGGCGAGGGCAGCTGAACCGATGCATTCGGCTCCTCCATCTCATCATCTCGTTCCCCCGACACCTCGTCCTCTACCTCCACCGGCCCCTGACGCCACCTCCGCCCCCGCTGGCGCCTCCTCCGCCTCCCCCGCCGCCACGTCCACCATAAAGGGGCTGCCGGGCAGGTGGTGGCCGTGCCAGACGAGGCTGATGCTGAGCCTGCCGGCTGACGGCGGTCGGTACGTTACCGCCACGCTCCTGCCGGCCACATAGTACCCCAGAGGGATGTTACGTTGCACCAGGCCGCCGGCTGGCGCCCGTAGGCTGTCCTTCACGCGCAGGCGCGGCGGCGAGCGGGCCGTGATCCTCTGCGTGAAGAAGTCGCCGGCGTCCGAGCGCAGCTCCAGCAGCAGATCCAGCCGACTGGCGCGTCCGAACCGCACCATGAAGTCGGCCAGGCAGCCGCACTCGGCGCGAGAGAGACCGCGCCCCGAGGCCGTGCACTCGGTCGGCGGCGGCGGCGGCGGCTCGTCCGCCATGAAGGAGGCCGTCTTCACCAGCGTGAAGCGCCGCTTCAGCCGGCCGGCCGACTCGCGCAGCCGGGCGAGGTAGCACATCAGCTGCGCTTCGTCCGTCGCCCAGATCACGTCCATCACCGACAGTGTCTGCGGCGGGGGACAGATGACGTCACAACTCGACGAGGGACGTCACGGCTCGCCATCCCGTGGCACGGAGCGGTGGCCAGGCGCGCTGGGCGCTCGACACGGTGCCATGACGCTCAGTCAAAACGGACAGTGATGTCATTGCTGGAAAATTGTGGTCGGCAGTCGATACGTTGCATTGCAATGTCATGGTGAATCAACCACATTAGCGTGCATTATGTTATTGCCACTGAGTCGTTCCGTGAACGCCGGACACCTCGTCCGATTTCACTCGACCAGACCACGCTAGCAGGACCCGACAGTGATCCCCAGCAGCCCCGGGCACCCGGGACAGTGATTGCCAGAGAGGTCCGCCCCAGCGCTCGACGTCGGCCGGGCGGCGCCGGTCCCTCACCGGCTCGACCTTGAGCAGGTCCCGGGCACGTCGCAGCGCCGTGGCAATATTGTGCACGGGGTTGTCGCCGCTGAGCTGGTCGGCTGGCACGGCGCGCGGCGCCAACGCGTTGACCAGCGCGCCCAGCACCAGCCCGTCGCTCCAGTCGGTGCCGAAGTTGGCCACGGGCCGCGCCGGCAGCTGCTGGTTCACCCAGTCCAGAAGCTCATCGCGGTCGGGCGCCGGCAGTGCGGCTGGAACGCGGCAGCGTCTTAGCCGAGCCCATCCAACCTTCGCCCACGGGTTCCCGGAATGTAAAGGTTGTGACTGCGGTGCTGAATAGCACATGAGCCCGCTTTGCAGTACATGCCGGAGTTGCCAGCACGTGCGAACGTGGTCTGCAGAGACCCGGGATCGCGCCCCTTGATACGGAGAGAGCAGGCGTTTTACGTCAATATAATGATGCTGCCGAATTATCTGGCGATGACCTCGCGGCATGCGACGGAACAGCTTCGGTTCAAAAGGAGCCAGCGTGATAGCGCAACATCTAAACACGCATCCCGGTTTTGTCGCTTGTTTGTTTTCAGCTAATTGAGAACGAGCTTCTGTATCGACACCGGTTATCTCACTAATCTGGATTGGAATTTAAACTCTAAGCGTGCCATACCATGTCACTTCCATCCAACTTGGTATTCTCATAAACCAATGACGGGTGATGTAAGGCCATGTCTGTTACACACCGATAAGACAACGGCCGCATCAGGCACCCAGCTTGGGCTGGCAACAAAGCATCGTCATAATGATCCGTTGCAGTATCGATCCCATCTTCGCCACGCTGGCGGCGAAAGCTCCGTCACCCAGCCCGGCCCGATGGCTGGGTGAGTCCACTCACCCAGCTTGTTGGGTCTGAAGTACAGGAGCAGGATGTGGAGCCCCCGACTCAGAGTGCCGGTGGTCCACCGAGTCACGACGAGACAGTGTCGGAGCAGTCTCCATCCCCATTGGCTCAGCACTGCTACCACGGTCGACATCTGGGGACATTAGTTCGGTCAACCGGAACCACAGCCCCGAAGCAGCAACGCTACTTTGCAACGCTAATAGGGTCCTTTTCGCTAACTTATTGGTGAGGGTTATTTAGGAGTGGATTGAGCTTGCATAAATAGGAAAAGCACTCCTCAACTGCATTGGATATACTCACAATGGCTGATTATAGCAGTTGTGCCACTTCTGTGTAATTATTTTGCTAATCGTTTATGCATTGGAAGAGTTAAAACGTGGAAGCAGTAATGATCTCCTCAAGTTGTTCATTGAAATTATCCGTCAGATCTTTGACATAAATGGGGTCAACACATGCGACGATGGCAGACAGAAAAGGGATCGGCCGAAAAATCACCGACATGTCTAACCGATTGCACTGCTCCGCAGGAACATTTTTTAAAATGCATCAATATGCCAGGTACTACATGGCAGGAGTATTCAGAGAATGAATTGGGCACCAATCACCGATAAACGACTTGGTTAATAAGCGATGATAAGTTTTATCAGGCTGAGACACTATGACCTACGATAGATCATTAACCAATCGTACGCCCAGAAGCCGCATTGCCTTTTGCAGGTGATTGAAACTGCATACAGAACGCATGCGAAGCGATTTCCTGACCCAGTGTTGAAAATGCAAGGCCTGTATCCCGTGCACTGACGTTAGCATGGTGCAAGAATCCCATGCATGTGATCTATGTCGCTGAGCGTTGATGTGGAACGGCTAGTCGGCAGGGACGGAGGGGTGCCATTTGAGCAAGAGCAGCATGGCGTCGCTGACATCGGAGCATGAACAGTGCAGTGATCTTATACGCCGCAAAGAAGGTGGGTAGAATATGATCGTTCGAATGGATGTTTGATACAGGTTAGGCGAAAAAGAATATTCTCAGTTCACTGTTTGTACATTGCAATTGGATATCGCCACGGCATTGCACGGCATTTTCCCATGCATGCTCAGCCGGTTGACACTGCGGCATTCTTCAACTCCCGGTCATTACTTTTGAGTCGGTCGATCGATATATCCGACTCCGGTTCTGCAGGTTACAGCACAGTCTGATCACTGACTAACGGGGGTGTTCCATATTTGGATGGGGTTTTGAGCTAAAATAGCCATCTTGAAGATTATTTGATGCAGTTCATAGCCCTGCCCTTCTTAAGACCAAAACCCCACTAGTTTTTTAGCTACACGCCACGAAGATGTGCTGACAATTTGGGAGACTATTTCAAGATCACCAAAGCATCTGTGACGCCATAGTAACCCCATTCATATCCTGTCAATTCATTAGCCATGCGGTGATCAAAGCCAAGAAAAAGATAATGGTCGAGTCGTTTATATCTGGCGTTCGTGAGCTCGGTTTCCAGATAAAGCGGCCGTCAACTGACTCTCGATCAACGCACTGCAAGGTACCATGACGTATCCACACAGGGACGTATTGAGGAGTATATTTACTAAACAGAGAAATTGCGCTGCCTAGAGCAATCATCTCTACTAAAAAACATACACATAGCTATGCGTGGGCCTGTTTGATGACATCTGATGCCTGCTTTAATATCCTTAAATGTGGAACATTCCCTACAACAAGCTGCTACCTAGTATCTACCCATTCGATGTCATGTTTTCCCTACCCAGTATCTTGGTGATAAAAGATGGTACAATGTTTTCGAAATGAATCACTTCGCAGCAAAACATTGACAACTTCCGGTAACAGAACTGATCTCCGTGTCCAGGCTGATTTTTTATCCAGTGTTGGCCAATGTCTCAATATTCTCACACCATGCGACATTAATTTTTTGCAAGCACCTTCTGAAAGTGCTCGTTTTCTGGGCAAGCAGAGTCGAAAATCTTGACCGTTTCTACGTTTTTATTAAACACGCTTAACTTGAGGGAGGTTAACAGCAAATAACGCGTTGAGTCTTTGAAATTCGGTTCTGAAATTTCCAGGTGATGACTTGATAACTAAACCATGGCAGTACAAGGTTAAAATGTGCTGTTTCTTAGACCATTCATACATGGTATTTTTAACCCAGATTGCATTCAATCAGACTACTTTTCTTCATCGATGGTAAACCATTTCTGAGACTGTTTATCATCATCGTTATTTTACCTTACATTCTTAAATGCAGCCTAAAACTCCAAAGAATACGACAACCAAACCGCTAAGTTCATTACATTTGGGCTAAAACGTCCTCTTCAAATGAGTTTTGAAATTATAACTGAAATATAAATTTCAAAACTCGTCTGAAGAGGAGAGGGGATGCCCGCCAAAAAATAGTGAGCTCTGCGGCTTCTCTGCTGCTTTCCCTGAAGTTTGAGACTGCAGTCAAGAGTGTACTATATAATGCAGGTCACTTCTCACAATCCTTCGGCGTCGTCCAGCAATATTCCCGCGTCCGGCTCTAGGTATGGGGCGTGCCACGCTCATTGACACCAGTGACGTCATCACTCATGCTGACTTCATAACATTCCGTTTGCGAGCCTATCCATCGGGTCTAGTTCACGCCTGAAATTGAATTATCAAAAACGTACTGGTCTTTAAAAAGTTTGGCTAAGATGGTGCCGCCGCATCGCGAAGGGCATCGGCAGTGCAGTGCTTAAGCTGCGCGTCTGAGAAACCAGAAGCACGAGGTTCGATTCCCCGCGGGGCCCGCCCTTCCTGCCAGGGTGCGAGACAGGCGACGCCATAAAGTCACGGCACCTTGAGTGCTTCCTGGAGCACCAATGACGATTGGCGTGTTTTTCTACGGATTGTTGACTCGTCCTGGCAAGTGGGACTACGCGATTAATCTCATGACGACAGGAATCGGCGGAGACACCAGCTCGTGAACATTTAGGTTACACGAGCTTTAGTATGGTCAAGGGGGGGATGATTCGTGTTTTTCATGCGATCAAAGATCCCAGGTGTTAATTACACATGCATTGGACGTACGGTACAGAGCAGCAACCTCAGGTTTAAGCAGCTATAATGTTAAGCATGTCAACATCTTTTAAGCAATACGAGATGCAAATCACGAGGGCGTATGCAGCTTACGCTTGGGCATGTTAAACTTCGTCTTTGTATCTACAGCTGACCCGCACAGAGCCGTACAGCGTATATGGAAACAAGTACATCGGCATGACTATGGCCGTTAACACGAGGGTACACAAACCCCAGCACGCTGAGCGGATCCTCGTTTCTTCAAATCCATCCACATGCAATGGCTAATTCAGAATCATAATCCAGGTCAGTGCCGTCCATTCCATAAACTCCGCAGCTGTTGGTCAGAGCATCCACCTGCCGATTCCCCCGCCCGTGACGGGGTGGATTCAAGTGGCCTTAGGGGCTCGTTATTAACCTCTGACTGCGATGACCTGCAATTGATGACAGCGACCGCGCGAAGTTTAGGTGACGTCAAAGGGCACAACGGACTGTACCGAGCAGGTTGGCGAGTTAAGATATCGCCGCCAAATCCTGCCATTGACACGGGATTTCACGATTGAGTGGTGGGGCCAGGCTTTGCACGGCACTCACTAGTTGGTGTGAGCGCTGGTATTCTTGCAATCAAGAGGCTCGCACCGAATCATGCGCACCGTAACAATAAACAAAAACCGACGCAAAAAAGCGGGTACACCCTCATATGTGCATACCAGTGATATAGTTGTAAAAAGTATTTGGGAGGAAAGGATAGACTATCTTGAATGAACTATTTAGGAACTATCCCCAAATTAACATGAACAGATGAGTTTTACCCCGAATTTCACCCACTTTCTTTTTAAAATTAGTGAGATGCAGGGCCTCCCAACTGGATAGGATGCTACACCCAGTGCCAAAACACACGTGATAACAACGTATCCCACCACAATAAGCACACAAAGCGCAGTCTGTGTCACCGTGCGCCCCGGAGTATCGATCAACCTGACGCGGCACCCCATCTCCACGCCGTGCGGGCAGCTTTACGACCAGAACGTGAGCCCGTGCGACAGCACGTCGCGCGGTCGGGGGCGGGGCCTGATGTCGCAGTCGGGGGCCCCTCAGAGAGCAGCCCCCGACCGCGAAATCACTACGCTCTGTAGGCAACTTCACGACTGGAACGTGAGCCCGTGCGACAGCACACCGCGCGGTCGGGGGCCTCTTGGAGAGCGCGCCATCGCTTCGCTCTACAGGCAGCTTCATGACCCAAAAAACGTGAGCCCGCGCGACAGCACACCGCTCAGTCGGGGGTTCTCGGAGAGCGCGCCTTCGCTACGCTCTGCAGGCAGCTTCATGAGCCAAGAACGCGAGTCCGTGCGACAGCACACCGTGCGGTCCGGGGGGCTCTCAGTGAACTTGCCAAGCAGCGCGCCGGATGTGAGCCGCGGAGCAGCGGCTTTAGCACAGCCGATTCCACTCCGCCACGGCACGGTGCCAAACAGAAGACTGCGATTGATAGCCGACGGGCGTCGGCGCCGATAAAGACGTGCAGCCATGGACGGGCAAACTGCAAGCACGGACGCGGCGGAGCGCCTCCGGGACTCCTCATCGTTAGAGCGTTTTTGTAGTGTTTTATTTTTGCTTCGTTTCTTTTTTATGCACTTATGAGGTCTCTGTCATGTTCTCCGCTTATCCGTGAGGCCTCTCTCTAATCTTTACCCGCGTGTCCGTAGGGTCTTTCCCATTTCCATCAGAAGCTCTCCGAATTCTCTTCGGGAATGCACCGTTGTTCCAGGTGAGCACGTGACCAGGCGGAACACCCATTTGGTGGTTAAAATTGTTTTCTAAGCATGCATTTTAGTCACTCCGGGATTGCAGAAGAGTTTGGGAACCTGAACGTTCATTGTGCTTGAAAAGCCACGCATCAGTGTATGAAATGGCCTATGGGTTGCTCTAATTGGCTCGGTTGTGGTGAGTAACGTTCTGTCACATCATAAAATGT